TGGAACACTTCGAGAATGAAATCCTGAAGAAGGCCCCACTAAAACCCTCCACATGGTTCCAGTACGTGGACGACACCGTCCAGTACATGACGACCTTCTTCATCTGGAACCACGGAAGGGAAACTCTACCTCATTTCCTCACTTTCATTAACTCCCAACATCCCAACATCCAATTCACAATGGAGACCGAACAGAATTCCCAAATCCCCTTCCTGGATGTCCTGGTCCGTAGGAACGAAGACGGCACCCTAAGCCACAACGTCTACCGCAAACCAACACACACGGACCGATACCTCCACGCAAACTCCCACCATCACCCCGCCCAAAAGAATTCGGTAATCAGCTCTCTAGTCCACAGAGCACTCTCCATCTCGGAACCAGCCGCCCTGAACGGAGAGCTAAACCACCTTCACCGAACCCTGACCAGGAACGGATACAGCAACAGAAACATCAACCGTACCATCAAGAAGCTGACCAACAAGGAATCCGGCCAGAACAACAACACGACGCCAGAGACAGAGAAAGAGAAGATTAAGACAGTAGTACTCCCATACGTCAGAGGCACCACGGACCGCATCAGCAGAATTCTGAGCAAACACAACATCAAAGCGATCTTCAAACCTTGCAACAAGCTCTCACAAATGCTCCCCAATCCCAAGGACCGGAGACCCCCTTTGACAGCTCCAGGGGTTTAGCGTACATAGGAGAAACTGGGAGGAAGATTAGTACACGAATCAAAGAACACCAGCGATGTACCAAATACGGCCACTTCTCACAATCAGCTCTAGCCGAACACAAGATCGAGACCGGACACGCCATCCAGTTCGACAAAGCCACCATGCTGGCCCCGTCCCAAAGCTATTTCGCACGAAAACACCGCGAAGGCATAGAAATAATGGACATTTTTTATTTTTACGTGATACATAAAGCGCAAACTGTCAGATGACATTTCTTTCAGAAATCTGCTATTAATTTCATATCCTACAGGCAAAATTGTAGTTATCAAACAGTAGATACGTAGTTAGCAAAACATATGTACTTATCTTACAATTATTTAATAAAATAAGCAGCTATTATTGCTAATATCCAAATAAAACTCATTCAAGTACACTTTTAAATGTTTTATTAAAATAATTTGGAGGAACTAAAAACAATTGATACAAATGATAAATAACAATGCAATACAATCAAATACAATACAATTTTCGAAATCAATTATGTACATTACAATAAGTGTTCACATTGTGCACCATTCATACCAATGCACAATCTTAGCTAATGTCTAAACGACGTCTTAAAGACGTTTTAATAGAGACGTGTTTTTACGACTTTACTAAAAGCAGGGTTGGGAAGTAACTCCCCACACAGCACAAAGCTCCGATTAAGCTCCTAGGAAGTTCATTTCGCTGAGCTCCCGGGAAGCTTACAAAATTCGACAAAACAAGCTTCCAGGGAGTTCATTTCGCTGAGCTCCCGGGAAGCTTACAAAATTCGATAAAACAAGCTTCCAGCGAGTTAGTACTAGTTGAGAGCTCCCTGGGAGCCTCATTTAAACTCCCTGCGAGCTTAAATAAAGCTTCTGGAGAACTCTCAAAAGCGGACATAGGAGCTCCGTGCGAGTTCGTTTGAAGTTCAAGTGAAGCTTATGACCAATTTTAAGAGCTCCCCAGGAGCTCCCCGGGAGTTCCTCGTGCTGTGTGGGTCGTTACTTGTAATGAAGTTTCAGTTATAATTACTTCTTTTTGGTAATACTATAACTTAACTTCATTTCCAAGTACATATAAAATTTACACCATGCAGATTTCTATAAGTTTTATAACAGACGTAAATTTGAAATAAAATTATAAATAACTTAAAATATTAAATTGCAAATGGCGGCTCTCCATTAATCGCAGCTGTTATTTTCTCACTGTTTAATATTGTCACGTGAGTACCCTCAATGGAATGTACTTTCACCACATTTTGAGTTATCTTAAATAATTACGTATTTTAGTAACAAATAATTTGTTGAAATTTGAAACTTATTATCAAATACAGATTAGCGTAGTGTTTTAAAGATACCTTCTGCAAACCATAATCCTCTTCAATCACGGATCTAAGCAACGGGTTCGTAGCTTTTAACAACATTATGGAAGACTTTATAGGTGCCAGCGTAGAAGAATCATATTGCGGAATAGCTGATGCATGTTTATAAGCTGTCGTGCACAGTGTTTTTAAATTTTCGAGTGAGAGAGACGTGTTCGTAGCTAAAAATTCTTTGGCGAAGATACTAAATTTCTCTTCCCAGGTCTTATATTTCTTCAGTTCCGTTAGAATCTACCAAATTACATTTTATTCTCTTAAGAAAGTTTGTATTTATAAATAAGTAACTTGGAAATATAAAATAGACTTTTAAAACCAAATATTGTAAGAAAGAGTAATAAAATTGATACTGGTACTACCACACAAAGAAGATTAAAATATGTTTAAATGTAAGAAAGGTTAAAATAATTTCAAGCTCAAGAAACAAGTATACTTTTTCAGTATCTCCTGCGGAATAAATTTCCATAATATTGATTAAAACAATATTCTGGAGATCTCTATCATCCAAAATTGCAAATCTGCACTCTTGGTATAGTGTTCGTAATTGCTCAGGAGCGCCGTCGATGAGAATAAGCCGTCCTTTAAAATTCATAGCTTCCAATCTCCTCGTTAGTTCAATTGCGATAATAGACCCGAAGGAGTACCCTACCATTATGAAATCTTTTCCAGCTGTCAGTTTTGGTAATATATGCTGTAAGAATATTAATATCTGATGAACTTTATGTCTCTTAAATGTCTCTTAAATGTCTCTTAAATAAAAACACTTCTTTGTTCAATAGAATATAAAATTACTGATTACGTTTATAAGATGATCACTCGTTTCTGATATAATGTCTGTAGCATCGATGTTGTTTGTATAATAACACAGGGCCCTTGCTGATAAGTTAATATTTGGCCCTAAATGATTGAATACAGTTCCACATCCGTCGATACCTGGTATGAGAAATACTTCGGTTGTAGTTTTCTGTCTTTTAGTCGAGAAATCTAAACAAGTTTCTGAAATGAAGTCTTTGTCTTTTATAACACCAATTAAAAATTTCAAGTTTGGCTGCACAATATCCAGTTTATTTATATCCTGCGTATTATCTGCACTTGCATTGGCTATCTCACTGAGCTTGGTAAAAGTAAGATTTCGTATCTCTTGCGCAGAGAAAAATATGTCGAATTCGCGTTCCAGAGTTTGCTTAATTTCCACGGCCATCATGGAGTCCATTCCAAGTTCGGCTAAATATGAATTTGGACTCACACCCTTCATGCTTTTTAGGCCTGTAATAGAAAAATTATTCTGACTTATATCATAATGTGTTATTCGTAAACTGGTATTTAACAGAGAAATATAATAAGTATATGTACGAGAATTAAATTTGCATTAGAGCATGTACCTAAAATATTGGCGACAGTTTCTACCAGATTTCCAAGCCCGAGAGATAACGATTTCTTTTCAGCTACGACTATGCTACTCACAACTGGTCGGCTTTGAATTAAAAAG